TGCTACACGACAAGACTCTTTTGGTAGCCAATTTCCCTGGCACATGCAGAAACCCCAGAACAGTTCCCCACAATAGTTTCCCACTTACACTGGGGAACTAGGGAAAAAACCCCAGTTGGGATGGTGTTTTGTGATATGTATGTTCTGACCCCTTCATGTAAATGAGAAATGATGAAATACGTAACCTTGGGGAGTTACACAGGTTTCCTGATAGAAAATACTTACTGGAATCGCTGCATGCTTGTGTTGACAAGCATTTTATATCATGTCCAGGATGGCTGAGGCCCCTTGAAATATAGCACAAGTGCTGAATCAGCAGTGTGGCCTCGAGGACTCAGACACAATCGTGCATGTGATGCTGATGTAAAGTGTATATGTTGATATGTAAAATGCTGACAAGTCAGTGTTTATTTCTGGTGTCCCCGCCCTTTCCCCGTCCAGGTCTAAGAAGGTGTGAGGTGTTTCATCCTCCCAACAAGGACTCTTAACTCTTTAACCATTTCTGCTTTTTAGTCCTGGAACACCCTGGTTCCATTGTTGTGTTGGCTGAGAAGGGAGCTAATGGAGATGCGGTAAAACATGGAAAGAGGCAAATTCTATGCATATACGGGAGAGAAGAGTGGGCTTAGGTGAGTATTTTGAGAAGGGCAGGAGAGGGAGGTCCTTCCCCTGGAACTTGCTGCTGGAGGTGGGGATAGGGCTGGTTGGAGTCCTCCATTCCAGTGTCCTACTCCTACCATGGCAACAGATCAGGAAAACTCTGTGGCTATTGTGAAAAGGGTGATAACATGTGAGATGAACTCCAGGGTATTTTGTTTCTCCATTGATTGTGAAGATCAGGATTTTAACAGGGTTCAAAAACAACTCGATAATTTCATGGACGTTAGGTCTGTCAATGACTGTTAGCCAGCATGGATAGGGGTGGTATCCCTGGCGTGTTTGTCAGAGGCTATTAATGAGTGGCAGGAGAGGGATCACTTGATGATTTCCTGTTGTGTTCACTCCCTCTGGGGCACCTGGTATTAGCCACTGTTGGAAGACAGGACAGTGGGCTTGATGGACCTTTGGTCTGACCCAGTAGGTCTGTTCTTATGTTCTTAGAATTTCTGTAAGATCAACACGCTATTGGACTTTAATGCTTCCCTGTTGCAGAGAATAGATGAACTATGAGAACAGTTTGAGCTGCCTGATACTTAGAACTCACAAAGGGCTACTGGGAGAAGAAGGCCTTTTCCACACTCTGTGCCTAGCATCAATTCAGGACCACAACGTTTGGCTTCCATTGGGGGGAGGGGAAAGGCAGGGAATTTTCAGAGGCTAATGGACTAGACATTGCAATTGCTTGGGCAGTATGCAGCCATATGCTTCAATGATCATTAAAATGGTTTTTCATCCCATATCCGGAGGCTGCCTTGCCACATGTCACTCAGATGGAAGCACATTGCACACAAACAAGGAAGTCCAAGTCATTTGCTACGCCGAACAGGCTGCAAGACGCAGTTTGCCCTGGCAACCTGAGCTTGCAGTACCAGGAAATCATTTCCACATGCCCAGGAGAGGATGCCAAGCTGAAGTTCTCCCGGTTCGTGTTTTGCTGTGCCAGCTGCTCAGAGACCCAAGAGAATTAACCAGGAGCTATGGACAACCTAAGAGCCCGTGGGGACTGTTCAGGGAAATAACAAATATCACTGTCCAGTACTGTGTGTGTCAGACTGTAATTCTCATCGCTCTTCCTCTCTGTTGCAGTGAAGAGATTTCCTCTCCCCTGTGTGGATTTCGGTGAGTTCCCTCTGTCTACGTTACAGTTAGTGCTGAGGGCTCAGGAACGGTTCCATATTTCAAGTAAAAAACTATCTGGGTAGAATTCATCAGCACAGTGACTTACAAAATGTAGTAATGTCTGAGAAATGAAGGGACTTACCTCGCTAGTTGGAACAACAAATGTATTTGAAGCAATTTTGAGAAGTGTGTTTTTCAGATCAATTCCTTCTCTTTGACTGTGTCCTACTTCATGTCTCGATAGCATCCCTTTTTAGGGCTGTGTGGATGTTTCTTTGGTTCACTCCAATTTTCCAATTCTGTATCTTTACTGCCCCTGTTCAGAAGTGTAGTCAAAGCCTCTACAGGGGGTGTCTCTCTTATCAGACAGTTCACCCCAAGAATTAATCCCTCACTGGCCAGATCCTGCTCTCATATTCTTCCTTCAGTGGGTAATTATAGATATACCCTGGCCTTCCTGAGCGCAATATCACGGCCACTGTGATTTGGGATCCCCGTATTTCATTTCTGCTCTCTGAACACCACAGAAACTGGGGTTTCCTGTTGACTCTTTCAGCCCCTGGACAGAGTAGCGCTCTCAGGACAACTGGGTGACCTTTGCGGATGGTGGCTGAAAGTTAAATGCTGAGAGTGAGTCTGGTCCCATTGAGTTCAATAGCCAAACAGCCAATAGGACCAGGGCTGATTTTAATCTCCACGTCCTCTCTCCCTCCAGCCAGGCCTGTCCCTTTCTCCATCCCTGCCCAGGCTGAGCAGCTGCTGGGATTCCCTTCAGCTTCAGACAGGCAGGTCAGTCTGGTCTCCCCCTCTTCCCAGCACAGGCAGACACTGAGGCTGTGTCCAGACTCAGGGGGTTTTTCGAAAAAAGTAGCCTTTTTTCGAAGAAACTTCCCCTGCGTCCAGACTCAAGCCGCGTTCTTTCGAAATTAATTCAAGCGGCTTTTCTTTCGATGGCGGTAAACCTCAATTTACGAGGAAGAACGCCTTCTTTCGAAAGTTCCTCTTTCGAAAGAAGGCGTTCTTCAATGTAAATAGGGCTTCTTCAAAAGAGAGCATCCAGACTCACTGGATGCTTTCTTTCGAAAAAGCAAGCCGCTTTTTCGAAATTTCTCCGTGCAGTCTAGACGCTCTCTTTTGAAAGAGGCTCTTTTGAAAGATGCTTTCGAAAAAGCCTCTTTCGAAAGAGGCTTGCAGTCTAGACATAGCCTGAGTGTATCCTGGTCTGGGGAGCTATTTCTGCAAGAGGTTGTAGAGTCTCATACCTGGTTTTGGTCCCAGGTGAGGGTTGTCCAGTTTTACTGGGGTGAAGTCATGATTTTTGTCTGTTCAGGGCCTCATGGCATCTCTCAGCCTTGTGCATTACACTCCTACTGGAACATTTCTAAGGTATCACTATCAAATGAGATTTTCAAATGCATCATGATTATTAACAGTACTGGGTCCTGCCATGAGGGCAGGGGACTGGACTCAATGACCTCTCAAGGTCCCTTCCAGTCCTAGGCTGTGTCTAGACTGGCAAGTTTTTCCACAAAATCAGATGATTTTGCGGAAAAACTTGCCAGCTGTCTACACTGGCCGCTTGAATTTCTGCAAGAACACTGACGATCTCATGTAAGATCATCAGTGTTCTTGCGAAAATACTGTGCTGCTCCCGTTCGGGCAAAAGCCCTCTTGCGCAAATCATTTGCGCAAGAGGGCCAGTGTAAAAAGCACAGTACTGTTTTTTTGCGCAAAACTGCGTCTAGATTGGCCACGGATGCTTTTCTGCAAAAAGTGCTATTGCGGAAAACCGTCCTGCCAATCCTGACACGATTTTTCCAAAAATGCTTTTAACGGAAAACTTTCCTGTTAAAAGCATTTCTGGAAATTCATGCCAGTGTAGCCGTAGCCCTCGTGTTCTATCATTAATTACATTCTCTATAATAGAAAAGAAAACCCACAAACCTTCAGTAGCTAAGGCATTACCTTGCAGGCAAAATACCTCCAGCTGTCTCCTGGGGACATGTTCAAAAATTCCAGGGCCCAAAAGGGACTATTGTGACCATTTGCTCTGTAGAACGGAGGCTTGAGAATTTTCCCAAAATTATTCCTAGAGGAGGTCTGTACAAGAAACATTTATCCTTCAGTTCAGACTTCTCAGTGATGGAAAATCAGGCTGTGTCTACACTACAGAGTTTTTGAGGAAAAACAGCAGTTTTTCTGCAAAAATTTGCGGCGCGTCCACACCTCCAGCGCGTTTTTGCTCAAAAAAATTGAAAGAGCAGAGGGGTTTTGTGGTATAGGTATTCCTCTTCCTACGAGGAATAACTCCTTTTTGAGCAAGAGCTCTGGCACAAAAAGATGTGTGTGGATGGGAAACAGGAAAGTTGTGCGGAGAAAGAGGCGATCGAAAAAAGTACAGGTGCCCTGGTGGCCATTCTGTGAATAGCAAAGAGAGTTTCCTTTAGAGAGAGCATCCATGCAGTCTGGACACTCTTACACAAAAGCACATCACTTTTCCGATGCACTTTTGCAGTGTGGACGCACTCTTGCGCAAGAAGTTTTTGCGGAAGATCTTTTCCACAAAAAGCTTCTTGCACAAGAAGCCTGTAGTGTAGACATAGCCTCTGTGAAGACTGTTGCTAAATTGTTCCAGTGGTTAATCACGTTCAATTGCTGCCCCTTCCCTTGGCTTGGTTATCTCCCTGTAGGTATGTCTACATTGTCACCCTAGTTCGAACTAGGATGGCTAATGGAGGCATTCGAACTTGCCAATGAAAACCGGGATTTAAATATCCCGGGCTTTATTTGCATGTTCCCGGACGCCACGATTTTTAAATGCCCCGTAGTTCGAACTCCCTGCCCGCGGCTACACGCGGCACGGACTAGGTAGTTCGAATTAAAGCTCCTAATTCAAACTACCATTATTCCTCCTGAAAGGAGGTTTAACGGTAGTTAAATCCCGGGCTTCATTTGCAAGTTCATATGCCTCCATTAGCCACCCTAGTTCGAACGAGGGTGGCAGTGTAGACATACCCTGTGAGAACTTGACTTTGACTTAAAAAAAATGCTGCTACTAAGAAACGTTGCCACCTCATCACTCACCCTACTTTCTATGATGTTATTAACAGAATTATTTATCATACTAGATGTAATAAAGGATATAACCCACCTGACTCGGCTCCTCTCCCCTCACAGGAAACTTGAGCATTTCGGAGCCTGATTGATGCATTGGCCACCGCATGGCAGCTTTCAACCTCACTCCCTCTGGCACATCAACATTCATTTTAACAGGCATCCCTGGCCTGGAAGCTGCCCACATCTGGATTTCCATCCCGTTCTCTATTTTCTACGTTTTCAGCCTGTTGGGAAATTTCACGGTTCTGTTTGTGGTAGGCAAAGAACAGACCCTGCACACGCCGATGTACCTGCTCCTCTGCATGCTGGCGCTCGCCGACATTGGCATGTCTAGCTCTGTCGTGCCCAAGGCCCTGTGCATATTTTGGTTTAATTTGAAAAGCATCACCATGGGGGGCTGCCTCACCCAGATGTTCTTCCTTCACTCGGTTTCAGTTATAAAGTCAGCTGTTCTCGTGGCAATGGCCTTCGATCGCTACGTGGCCATATGTAACCCTCTGAGATACACCACCATCCTCACCAATGCACGAATAGCTAAGCTAGGGCTAGTGTGTGTGATAAGAGCTGTTCTCCTCATTCTGCCCCTGCCTCTGCTCCTGGGCAGGCTGCCATTCTGTGTCAACCGCATTATCCCCCACACGTACTGTGAGCACATGGCTGTGGCAAAGATTTCATGTGGGGACATCACAGTCAACAGACTGTATAGCTTAGTCATAGCATTTGTAGTCATCTCATTAGACTTGATGGTCATTATGCTGTCCTACTGTGTGATCCTCAGGGCCATCCTCAGGATCTCCTCCAAGAAAGCCCACCTGAAAGCTCTCAACACCTGCACCGCCCACATCTGCATCATACTGTCCTCTTACGCTTCCAGCCTCTTCTCCATCCTGACCCACCGATTCGGTCAGGGCATCGCTCCCCATGTTCACATCATCTTGGCCAACCTCTATTTCCTCCTCCCTGCCGTACTCAACCCCATCATTTATGGGGTCAAAACCAAAGAGCTTCGCGACAAAGTGGGCAAATACACCTGCAGAATGTAATCACCTGAAAGCTAGATGACAAAAGGGAGAAAGCATCCTAGCTTGGCTGAGCTCAGCATTGTGAAAATGCACAATCTGAGAATAGCCTCACACCTAATATCACTCCATGACCAGGCCATGTTCTCTCCATAGCTGAGTTCCTTTTCCTGACCATCCTCTGACTTCTTTCACCATCCCCTGTCCACCCCCATCCCCACACATGAACATAAGAACGGCCGTACTGGGTCAGACCAAAGGTCCATCTAGCCCAGTAGCCTGTCTGCCGACAGTGGCCAACACTAGGTGCCCCAGAGAGGGTGGACCGAAGACAATGATCAAGCGATTTGTCTCCTGCCATTCCTCTCCAGCCTCTGACAAACAGAGGCCAAGGACACCATTTTATCCCCTGGCTAATAGCTTTTTATGTACCTAACCTCCATGAAATTATCATGAACCTAACCTCCATGAAATATCATGCTGTATCTTGGCCTTTCCTTGACTTCCAGACCCCCAACAGATACAAGATCTTTCTGATGCAAAATGACTTCCCAATTCCTTCTTGGGTGAATGGATTAGTTTGCATCAACAAAAGCCATGCTTTCACGTGGCCAAAGACAAAAAAGCAATGAGAATGCTGAACTTCTTTATCTCGTGTGCAGGGAACCGGTGAACAAAAAGAACATGATTTTTCTTCTTCCGGTCCTTTGAGAGACTTGGACAGTAAATGAAAAGCTTCATTGGGAACATTCTAATGCATGGACGCTGCTGTAGGAATATGAGAAGTGGGTTGTTGAGTTGATTTTTTTGTTGAGAACCAGGCTGCTGTGATAAATTGTGAGATGATCTTTGACGTAAATAACTTACCACTTTGCACAGCTGCTGTTGGAGCTGGACTTTGGAGGAGCACACCCTACCCAGGCCTGTTTTCCAAGACAGGTGTTAAAATTTCATGTTGGAGTTTGTACAACAAGGATCGTCACCAACCCTCCAGGTGATTGAATCGTTTGCAGTACTAATTGACAGGGAGTGACACTGCCCCCCCATGAAAGAGGGGCTGTAGTTACCCTCTCCAACACCAGCCAAATACACCTGTCAGCATACACACCACTCCCAACACCCCCTAACACCACCTCCCTAATCACACACACCCATATACCCCCAAATGCCCCTCCAGTACCACAAACACACCCTCCCAGAGCATGCCTTGTCCAACACCTCCACACCTTTAGTACACCCAAATACTCTTTCCTCTACACTTCCAGCAGCCCCAAAACCTCCTCCCTGTACACACCCCTTCTTACATCCCATACGCCCCTCCCAATATAACTCTCCTCCAGTACCCCACAAACAGTCCTGTTCATACACAGAGTGTCATACCCTTTAGTGTCCCAAAACACCCTCCCGGTACATCTCTCCAGCACCCTCAAATGCCCCTCCTAGTGCACACTGTCTCTTCAGAACACCCCTCATCTCCTCCAGCACCCCAACATCCCTGTCCATTGCACACACTTCACTCTGCCCCCCAATATCCCATCTGGAACCCCCAATACCTCCCCAGCAATGTCCTCCATTTGGGAACCAGAAATGGGGTAGCCCGGCCCCAAAGCAAGGTATCAGTAACAAACCCAGGGCAACCAGACTCTCTTGGGCCTTTATCCCAAGGCTGTGACCCTAGAAAGGGTTTGTTTGGGGGGGTGTTTTCTTTAAGGGGGCTCAGAGTAATTCCTTCAGGCTGTTTGCTGCCCCCATCATTGGATGCACCTGGGACTGGGAGGGTCAGCTGGTACGTCCCTCCACTCCATGCAACTCCATACCAGTGAGTCCTGGGGCCATGCTCAGGAAACACGGGCTGGAACGGGACTGCACGGAGCACAAAGGAAGGGAAGTCTGTGTGACAAGAGAGCTCCTGGAGAAGCTTCTGTTGCAAAATAGTCCTGGGTTCCAGGGAGGACCCTCTCCCAGCCTTTGAGGGGGGGATCCACGGGGCCTGAGAACACAACCGATTACTTGAGATAACTACAAAGGATGAAAACAAGGGATCGTGTTGCAGGTACTGAGCAGAAAACCCCAGTGCCCGGTGCTCCTCAGAGGCATCGAGGGAGCCAGCAGATGCCACCCAGAGGAGACCAGAGCTAACAGGAGGTTGATGAGGAGGTCCTGCAGCTTTGCAGGACACTGATAGGCTGTGTGAGGGGAGAAGTGTGGGTTTGGAACGGGTCCCATATGAGGAGAGGTTAAAGCGACTGGGACTTTTCAGTTTAGAAAAGAGGAGACTGAGGGGGGATATGATAGAGGTATATCAAAATCATGAGGGCTGTGTCTAGACTGCATCCCTTTTCCATAAAAGGGATGCAAATTAGACACATGGCAATCCCCCCGCTTCATTTGCATAAACATGACTGTCCCTTTTTTTAAGAGGAATAAGGGATCTTTCGGAAAAAGCTTTATTTTCCGAAAGATCCCCATCTAGACTGGCGCTTTTTTCCGGCAAAGCTCTGAGCCGGAAAAAAGCAGCAGCCATGTTTACGCAAATGAAGTGGGGGGGATTTAAATCCCCGCTTCATTTGCAATTGCCATGTGTCTAATTTGCATCCCCTTTACGGAAAAGGGATGCAGTCTAGACACAGCCGAGTGGTGTGGAGAGGGTGAATAAAGAAAAGTTATTTATTAGTTCCCATAATAGAAGAACTAGAGGACACCAAATGAAATTAATGGGTAGCAGGTTTAAAACTAATAAAAGAAAGTTCTTCTTCACACAGCGTGTAGTCAACCTGTGGAACTCCTTGCCAGAGGAGGCTGTGAAGGCTAGGACTATAACAGAGTTTAAAGAGAAGCTAGATGATTTCATGGAAGTTAGGTCTATACAAGGCTATTAGCCAGGGGATAAAATGGTGTCCTTGGTCTCTGTTTGTCAGAGGCTGGAGAGGGATGGCAGGAGACAAATTGCTTGATCATTGTCTTCGGTCCACCTGGTGCTAGCCACTGTCAGCAGACAGGATACTGGGCTAGATGGACCTTTGGTCTGACCCAGTACTGCCGTTCTTATGTTCTAAGTGCATCCCGAACAGCACTAAGAGGTTGCAGAGGAGCTGGAAGAGGGGTTGCAACCTAGCACATTGTAGGTATATATGAGTGGTCCCCAACCACTTGAGGTTGCCGGGTGCCAGGGGGCGTGGCCGTTCGCCCGCAGGGCGCTAGGGGGCGGGGACACTTGCGCGCCCAGGGGTGCCCCCCCCATAGCCGCATGCCCAGAGGCAGGACCCCCCATAGCCACGCGCCCGGGGCCAGTGCTCCCTCCAAGCACCACGCGCCTGGGGCCGGTGCCCCCTCCAAGCAACATGCGACCCGG